GCTCTCCCTCCACGGCCACCCTGGGGGCCTGGGTGGTGTTGGAACTCAGCTACAGTGATTAGGCTGAGGGGACTCAGGATAAAGGACCCTCCATCTCCACACCGGGTTCCAAGCGCAGCCCTTCCAAGTCTACCCTCTGAGTTTCTGGAACTCACCTGGAAGAACACATGATCAGGCCAGATCCAGAGCCGAAGCCACACAAGACAGGTGTCACGTGGGGTTGTAACCCCTTGCTCAGTGGTCGGGGTCTCCTTGCAAATCTGCAGAAATCCCTGTTCTGCCTCATTCCTGGGAGAAACCCCACATCTCCTCCTACTCTGTCTGTTCTTCTCTTGAGGCTATTGTCCTGGAGGGATGCAGAGTCCTTGAACCTGGCCTTCCAAACGTACATAAGCAGCCTGTTCAATGAAACAAATTATGCAGTTTTTCACCTTTGCCAGTTTTTTGATTCCAGAAAGGCTGCGGGACTCTTTCTCACTGTCTCCTGTGCCCCCACCACTTGGTGGCCCTCTCCTCATGGAAACACGATTTCCCACAACTGCACCCTGCCTCCCAGCTTGTCAGAGGGGAGTGACCCACAAAGACACAGGTGTTTGTGAGGATCCTGTCCCCAAGCAGAAAGCCTACTCCTGGAGCCACGGACAGGGATCTGGCTTCCTGAGCGGCTCAGCTCTAATTGAAAGTCTAAACTGGGGATCCCGAACATTGCTGAATGACTTTCTGAGTCACCTTGGCTGGAGGGGCCTGATTTTTCTTTCTAGAAATGGATGTAGCGTAGCCTCCATTTTCAGGGCTGACGTTCATGATGGATCTAGTTCCCCCAACTGCACCCCAGGAAGGAGAGGCCCTTCCATCCCACTGGTTAGAAACCCATCCCAGGGGAGTTCCGAAGCACCACATCGCTGTCAGGTCCAGCATCCCTGCAGAGTGGCCCCTGCCCCTGAATGAGCCCCTTCTCTGGGCCTTCCCTGCCCTGACATAACCACACCCCAGGTGGTGCTGGGGAAGGCAGGGAGTGCAGTGAGGGGTGGGGGGGAGCAGAGCCCCTTGCTCTGGAGTGAGGGTTCCTGGGGAGACCACAGAGCAAGGCACGCACCACCCCCACCCTATACCCCAAACTCTTAGCACCGCCAACACAGGGGCCTCTCTGTGCCCTCTCACCATGGTTCTCCTCTGAGACTGCACCCAACCCGGCATCTGGCACCCCAGCCCTACCTCCCCTCTTATGACAGATCCCGTCTTCTTGGAAACTGCCTAGCAGCGCTTATTCAAGGCCGGCAGCAGGCCTGGCGGATCTGCATTTCAGGTGCCCTACCTGGCCAGCGTGCGTGCCTGGGCTCAGTCCTCTATCTTGCCCACCGGTAGCCTGGGTCCACGTCCGGCGAAAGTGGAGGCCGCGGAGCCCAGGCTGATCCCCACACATGGACAGGTGAGGGTGCCCCCGCCCCGCTGCCCCGCTGCCCTGCTGCCCCACTGCCCCGCTGCCTCGCTGCCCC